TGTGAGTTAGTAATAACAATTAGAAATTTTCAACCTATGTATTTATTCATATTTTTTATTAGAACAATGGTAAAACGTTCAAACACGAATGAGTCTCATGACACAAGTAGTAGCGAAGATGAGCTCCAGATAGACGTTTATACAGATATAATATGTTAGAAAGACTAACTGTAGAAGGTTTTCTTCTACAGTTAGTCTATCGTTTTGATAGCAGGGATAGTGATATCGTCCAAGCAACAAGGTGACGAGAGAAAGAGTTCGCATAGATAGCGATTACAACAACAAAACAAAATTATAAAACAAACAATAACAAAATTATGAAAAATAAAATATTGATTTTTTTGCAAATTTCTCGATTTCAGCCAAATTCATATAAGTCCAATATCATTATAATATGTTAGTTAGTTCCAAAACCATACTAAATAATACGAGGGTCTGTAAATGCCCGTTTCTGCCGAAAAGTGGTGCTGAGTAGCTGGTAGCCAATGTCCAGAATGGTTCGGAGTGCTAAGGGTTAAATGTTCGAGGGGAATGTTTGCTGGGATCTTTTTACATTGTTCAGCAGGCACTAATAGCCTGGACCTTGCGAACTTTTTTCATCACTCCGCGTATTTAACACTGTTTAACGTAAATCACTAAAAATTCAATTGTATCAGGTCATTCGAGATTCGGGACAGTGGAGAGCTGTTACTGAGATCAGCAACAACAATCAATGGTTCCCTGGCACGATTGGTAGCTGTCGCTTCCGACTCGGGTCGTCCTCCTAGGTATGCAAAGGAACAGAGATCAAATAATTCCTAACATTTCCAGTTACTTAATTTCACCACGTTGTCACGTTTTATGCTGTTATTTTATGCAGGTCTAGTATGATCCCAGTGATCGTCCACATACCAAACACTGGGTCATTGCCAATTGCCGCGAGAGCTGCGCCAGCCTGGTTGGGCAGTAGCGTTCTGCTGGTTGCAGTGTTCGGCGCTGTCTTGGGCCTTCTAGGAGTCATTATACTCGTTCTAATCTTGTACATATATAAACAGTAAGGAACACAATGGTTGTCGTAATTAATTAAATAATTCTCTCCAGTTAAATGGTTTGCGAGGATGTATTCTTGTTACAATTTGAGATCTTAGAAACATATTCTCAAAGTATTGAACCTGATTTTGGTTTAGTAAGCACAAATCAGAGATATCCATTATCATATAAACTAGAATGAGGTAATTATTTGCGAAACGCGAATTGAACTCTTGGATGCAAGAAGGGCCTGAGTGACAAAAATGACGAAAATCGAGAAAAGAGTCTCTAAACATTACGAAATCAAAAATTTCTCATACCTAGTGAAACTGTTTTAAAACTCTTTAGGATATCTATTAACATCAATTCTTCTCCTTCTCATTTCATTATTGTGTAACATGAATTACGTAATAAATGTATTTTTTATTCCAACAATTATTGATTACAGTATCATCAGGCTCTTCTTGCATAAAATAGAAAAATGTGGTAAGAAATGATATTCATTAACATTATTCTTTATTGTTCGTGATTTTTATATGATATTTGAGAGTATGTGCGTTTATTTAATATCAGAAAAATTATAATTTTCTAACACGAAAATGAAAAAGTGCCGGTTATCCGCTTCAATTTATTCGGCTTCGTTCATAATATTTTCACTGTCACTTGGCTTATCCAAAACAGAATCGAAGTCTACAGATTGTGTATCTCCTGACAAGAACAGGACATCTGAAAAGATTGGCATCATTTGCTCCAATTTGGAAAAAGTATTGGGTTGGCAACTAAGTAATTGCCGATTTGTTCAATGAAATAAAAAAATGGTGGGTGTAACATCAATTCCCAACCAATATCCATCAATCTTTGCCGAGTGGACAAAGACATGTGCGGCCTAGCATTGTCCTGCTGGAAAGTGACACCTTTACGATTGACCAATTCTGGTCGATTTTCCTTGACCGCTGCATTCAATTTGTCCAGTTGCTAACATTCACGGATAATAAAAAATAACATAATAATAATAATAATAATAATAATAATAATAATAATAATATTTTTATAATATAACATTTACGGATATCATNTTGAATTTGCACGATTCTTTATTTTATTGGCACGAAATCGAACACTCTCATTCATTCTTAGTGTACGAATTCATTAAATACAATTAATAATGTAGTACATACATTTTATTTTCATGTATGTTTAAAATTACATTTGTTCGACATAAAGAGTTCGTTAAAAATAATACTATACTATAATTAATTAACTATTATTATTAATTATAATTAATATAATAATATATATAACTATTATTATTATTAATTAATTAACTAACTATAATTAATTATCTATAATTAATATAACTAATAATTTTAATATAAGTATTTATATAAGTTCGACATGTTTCTATTTCTTTGCACCACGGACATTTAATCCATACAGTAAATTGCAACGCAATGTTTCCCTGCACGTTGCTTCTATGGATAAAATTGAATTTCCATCGGTTCACTCAATAAGTTTGCAAATCGGAAAGCAATTCAGCAAGAACGGTAGGAAATATTCGTCGAAAAGTTCGAATTCGAGTGGAGCTCGTTACAGTGGAGGATACGTCGTGCGCCTTTCCTGGGTTGCTCAGGCGATCGAGTTCGTTTCGCCAGAAGGTCGAGTAACTTCGTTTAATCGGCGGCACCCTCGTCGCGATTTTATCGAAGGATATTTTACCGAGGGGAGTCAGGTTAACGACGGACACCGGAAAACTCGGACTCCATAATTCCCAGGATTTCGTAGAGATCGTGATTTTGCCATAGATTTTTTTACGGTCGCGGGAATTCGAAGCAATTATTTGTGACCCTCTCTTCCGCTATTACGACCGATCTGATGCTCCAAAATGGATACTCGACTTTCACTGTTCGATTAACGCACGGAGATTCGTGAAGAAATTTCAACGAACAATTTTACTTGGAAATAGGAACGAGAAAATATTTTCATGCGTTTTCCATTTCGTTTCAATTGCTCTTGTACTACTTATTGTGTATAAATACGTTTGTGTCTCCTTATATTACTACTCAGTTATGTTACCCGTCTATAATGAATAAATAAATAAATAAATAAATAAATAAATAAATGAATAAATAAATATTTTCATATTTTAGGAAGAAGTTACGTTGTACATATTTAACTCTTTGTCCTGCAGTTTCTGTTTCTACTGTTTGACCATTAATGCTGTAACTACCAAGCCCTAAATGCAACAAATATATATTGTTTTATAACAGTGAAAATATTTCATCTACTGAAACTTCGTACGATTTGTATCATATTAAATCTGTTGATTTCTTTAATAAACACCACGAAAAAATTTCTCATAGAAACATTATTATTTCATTAACTNTAGATACATTGATCGCATAGATTTTTCATATTATTAAAATAAAACTGAAGCTCTACCGTCGAATATTATCCATGTATCTCTGACAAAATGTTATTTTGATTCGATTCTAAGTGAGATAAATTAATAAGGTACAACATAATCAACTAAACCTAAAGGAATAACAGACTCTTCGTTGAAACTTTTGAAACTTCATCGGAACTTTGATTTATTTGTTATCGTATTAACTGTTTCATATGCATATGTTAAATTTTGACATATTGCGACAATACTGTTTTCTTTTAATCGATAAACGAATCTTCTAACATCGAAAATTATAAACAGACTCTAATTTTGCATATTTCGATTAACTTACAATTTCGATGCGATTAAATAGAATGCCTCGATTCTATTCAATTTTTACAATCGTTAGGTGAACAGTATAAATAGTATAAACAGATTTTAAATTCGTTTCATGTAACATTTCAGTTAACTTACTATTTCGATGCAATCAAATAAAATGCCTAGGTTTTATACAATTTTTATGATCGTTAGATTAACAGTCAAAGTGTTTGAAAAAATCCACCCACATGATTGATAATTACCAAAGAGAGAGGTTGTGTGTGTGTGTGTGTGTGTGTGTGTGAACCTTCCGAAATATTGATTTCTGCTATTTTGGGATTCATTACAACGTGCGTGAAATAAAACTATAGAAAAATAACGATAGATAATAATTAATAATCGGCAATTACTTAGTTGCCAACCCAATAGTTCGTATTTGTTCGAATACTTTTGCTCGAAATTCGCATCTCGAGCCACCGCGTATGTACAAAATGTCGAGCTGTTCATGGTTGTTACAGTAAGAGGCCAAAGACTAGCGGGTCCGTGAGTTCCGTGGGCACCGGTTACCGAGAAAAATCGCCTGTACCTTCTGCACTGAGTCCTACGCCCCAGGTGCTCGGTGCGAACATGCTCCAAGATACTTTGGACGTTCCGCGCCGAGGAAATCGTCACGACGTTGCGCACAGTATCGAGGAGAACGACGAAGACGAAGATGCCAGAGGCGATCGCGACGACGAGGATCGCGTTGACCAAGAAACTCTCGAGGATAGCAACAATGACGAAATGAGGGAGATTAACAATGACAGCAACGACATTGAGAATCCCGTTTTCGGTGCGAAGAACACTTACAGCGCTACTATTAAAAGTGAGTATCATGCTCGAGGAAATAATAGTATAATTTATTGAATTTCGATGCTGCCGAGAAATTGGTTATTTTTTGGATTATTCCAAAATTTTGCGGAGAGAGAAAAATTCTATAACGGGAATAATTTTGTGATCGCGATAATATTTTATTATATCAGGTGTATAGGAAATAGTAGTGTACAATAAGGAAACAGTATGACAGCGGAGTATGAGAAAGAAGCAAAGAAAAGAACAGATCTACATATCTTTTTTATACTGAAGAGAGTCTTAATTTTTAATTGTTAGAGCCGTATAAAAGTATTATGCGAATACAAACAAATTCAATGCAGCCGGAAATGGGAGATTCCTGAGGTTATTTGAAGAAACTTTTTCCTCAGCGAAAATGCAATCCGCGACATTGTTTACGAGTTATTAACGAAAAACACTGACCAATGAGCAGCGAGCTCGGCTGACGTGAGGCGGTCCAGTCATTGGTTCGACCGTCTCGCGCCAGCCGATCTCGCCCTCTCATTGGTCACTGTTTTTCGTTAATAATTCGTAAACGGAGCCGCGGATTGCATTTTCGCTAAGGAAAAAGTTTCTGCAAATGACCTCAGGAATCCCCCATTTCCGGATTGCGAGACATTATTGGGACACCTTGTATAGTGAGATACTACAGTACGACACGATCCACTAGAATTTATTAAAAATACTATTATTATGTATATATACATATATATATTATATATATATTATTATAATTTATTAAAAGCTTTTTTTACAATTTCAAAGGTTTATCGTCGGCCAGACAAGTACCTCCGTACGCAAGGCACAAAGTGGCACCAGCCCCGAATCCACCCGGTTTGTCCGCAACGTCGAACATCCCCAACATCGGCGGTCTTGTCCAAAACATGAACGACCTGAGCGCGAAGTCAAACGTGAACGCGGCTTCTCGCGATTCGTCCAATTACTCCGGAGAACCTTCGGACTCGTTGATGCCAGCCTGGCCAGCTTGCTCCGTCTCGCAGAGGGTTAAAAAACTGTCGTGGGACGATGACGATAGGGTAATTAGGACACTAAAATAAGTCGTTTCAAATTCTACTGATCGAAGATGCGACGTAATTTTTTAGGAGAAGCACTGTAATATAATCTGAAAAGTAGATAATATTTTTCGGAATTTCTTTCAGATCAGTATCAGAATAAATCCAATATTTATTATTAGATTGCAGATCTTTATGCAAATTCCATAGAAAACGTTAAATAAAATTAAACAACCTGCAACTGACACTTGAATGGCTCACTCTTCTCTAATTGCTGTCATTCCTTATTGCTTTCCCTTCTGCTATTCTTAAAACATGTGTTTCCTTTCTTTAGATGTAAAAAGATCGGTTTTTTCGTCTGTTGCAGTGTTATCTCTCCTCGAATTATTCTCAAAATATCTCGACACGAGCATCTGAATTTATACCTTGATATTATCTTGAATTCATTGAAAGTCCTCGATTTGATAAAGTAAATAACTTTTCCTTCAATTGACGTTCGCAATATACCTGAGAAACCAACAAAATTGCCTCCGAAATGAAGAATAAGAATGTCTGATTGTCAGACCCAGATTTCACTGAAAAATTCAAATTCATTTTATGGGCGTCTCGAGAGTGACACAGCACAAAAATATCGATCCTGAACAAATTTGATTCAGCACCTGCTATGCATTTTATTAACGATGTGCACGACAAAAACAACGCGCCATATCGACGCGTTTTGCCAAGCGAATTCCCCTTTAGAAAGTTTTCATCTTTCAGACGGTAGACAGCGTCGAGGTTGCGGCTGAAACGAGGTCCAGGAACAGCCAAGTGGGGAACGAACGGCTCAATCTCACCGTGTATTTCTAATTAACCTGCGCGAAACGAAAGACTGAAGACCGAGATGAACGAATTCCCCCCCATGCGAGATCACCGTGTCGTTGCCGGATGCGAAATCAATTTCACAACGATGTACATACGCAGTGTATAGTTGACTACATATATTATATAATACATATAGCTGAGAATGATCAACGTTGTCGCACGTTGGGCTCGTCTCCGCTGTAATTGTTTCATTAAAAGACATCCAAAGAAACACGTGTTGGCCCTTCTTCATTCCGTGTACACCGACGCTCGGACTCTTTCTCACCATTTCAGAGCCATTCGTAACATTCCATTTTCAAAATGTATTCACCTCTCTTCGATAATTAACCCTTAGCACTCCGAACCATTCTGGACGTTGGCTACCAGCTACTCGGCGCCACTTTTCGGCAGAAACGGGCATTTACAGACCCTCGTATTATTTAGTATGCTTTTGGAACTAACTAACATATTATAATGATATTGGACTTATATGAATTTGGCTGAAATCGAGAAATTTGCAAAAAAATCAATATTTTATTTTTCATAATTTTGTTATTGTTTGTTTTATAATTTTGTTTTGTTGTTGTAATCGCTATCTATGCGAACTCTCTCTCTCGTCGCCTTGTTGCTTGGACGATGTCACTATCACTGCTATCAAAACGATAGTAGAAGAAAACCTTCTACAGTTAGTCTTTCTAACATATCTGTATAAACGTCTATCTGGAGCTCATCTTCGCTACTACTTGTGTCATGAGACTCATTCGTGTTTGAACGTTTCGCCATAGTTCTAATAAAAAATATGAATAAATACATAGGTTGAAAATTTCTAATTGTTATTGCTAACTCACAAGATGATATTTACCAAACAAAACTTTTACCAAACAATTTATTTACCAAGAGAAGAATCACTTTTCCGATTTTCTCACCCGTTAGATCTATCTATACCGCTCGACGCTTC